AGAGGAGGCTGGCGTAGCGCAGCCGACACCGACACAAGGCTCCGGGGTCGGACTTGGGGCTAGCGCGCCCGAAGGCCTTCGCCCCAACTGATCCCGGGTGGGGAACGGCGCCGCGCTGGGCCGCCGGACGGGTGGGCTCCGAGCAGGGTGCACGCCTGGCTGCAGCACCCTCTCAAAATCGCACGACCACTCTACTCTCTAGGATGGGATAACCCCTCCCCCCATGCCCTTCACTCAGCGGTGCACACCGCCTTGAGCACGCAGACGCTCTCAGGGCGCAGACCCACAACATGGCAGGCTCACAATCAAGTCCCGTGAGACCCTAAGAGCCAGGCTCAGCACATTAACAGGGCCAGCCCTGGACACATACATACATACATACATACATACACACACACCCTCTCCAGAAATGCACAGGACCCCCACCAGGCCGCGGGCCAGGAAGGCCCCTAGTCCTACAGAATAGGCACACATAAATGACTACCAGTGGAGATGAACACACAGCTTGATATTTTGTCCCCACCGGAGGAACTATCCACATTTATATACTTGTCCATAAATGCAGAGGCCTTGGTGTGGGCCTCCTGGGACAGCACCAACAAAACACCAGGTGGAAGCATACACAGAAGAAACACATTCCTGAAACTCCAGAGGGACAGTCCCAGAGACTCCTCCCTGGTGTTCAAAAATTCAAAACTCAGGAGACAGAAGAGCCAGCCCTCAGACTCCTTTTGGAAAAACCTTTCTGAAACAAAGACATAAATTAATTTAAAACCAAAGAAATCTCATCACAGAACTAGCCATAAAGAGAAAAAAGAATCAGACAAACTGTGGAGTCAGGGAGACATAGATATAAAGCAAGCAGAGCAGGCCAGTGAGAAAATAGGCCCACCCCCACCTCAGGGAGGTTCCAGGGAAGAACCCCACCCCCACTCCAACCAGGTCACAATGGCTGGAGCTCTGAAGGGCCCAGGCACCCTGAGCCAGGAGGAGAGGAAGAAGTCCAAGGAAAGATGGTGAGTGTGGGGGCCAAGGGGGCATACCTCCCCTCCCTGTAACTCCTGGCTGCTCTCTTTCCCCTCCTCCCCAAAAACTTCCCAGCAGTTCTAGAGACACCCATAAATGAAAATCACAATCGTATACCCAGGTGTCGCTGAAACCTGTGACATCACATAAACACATAGCATCTAAGGCTACCTTCCATTCCTCAAACCAACAGAGCATCCCTGGGTCCTCTTTTTCTCCTCCCAGGAACAACTTACCCAGAGAAACATGACGCTCCAGGACTGCTCACTACCTGCTTCCTGCTCAAGGCCCACACTAGACTACCTCATCCATCTTTCAGGGCCTTTCTAGCTCCAAGAGTTCCTCAGCAAGACAGCCTGCCCCTCTACTGTCCCACAGGGTCCTAGACCCCAGCCTGGCATTTGCCCTGCCCCAGGTCCCCTGGGCTATGGCTGCCCTAATGCCCAAGCTCCTCTCTCTCTCTCTAACAGGCTGGCAGTCACCCCTACTTCAACCTGCCCGACTTCGCCCAGCCATCGCCACCCTCTACTCCGCCCAGCCTCCCCTCGCTCCAGTGCTGCCAGCCCTCTGATGCCACCAAGGGTCTGCTTGTGGCCCTGCTAGGTGGGGGCCTGACCGCTGGCTTTGTGGGCCCCTTCTCCCGTATGGCTTACCAGACTTCCCACTTACCCTCACTGGAGCTGCTCATCTGTCGATGCCTCTTCCACCTTCCCATTGCTCTGCTACTTAAACTGCGTGGTGACCCACTGTTGGGACCTCCTGATGCCCGGGGCCGGGCCTGCCTCCACGCTCTACTCAACGTCCTCAGCATTGGATGTGCCTATAGTGCTGTTCAGATGGTGCCTGCTGGCAATGCTGCCACCGTCCACAAAGGTTCTTCCACCATCTGCTCTGCTCTCCTTGCCCTCTGCCTTGAGAGCCAGGGTCTCAGCGGCTATGACTGGTGTGGCCTGTTGGGCAGCATCCTGGGACTAATCATCATTGTGGGACCTGGACTAGGGACACTGCAGGAGGGGACCACGGGCCTCTACACCGCCATGGGTTATGTGCTTGCTTTTCTGGGCGGACTAGCACTATCGCTGGGGCTTCTGGTATATCGTTCCCTGAACTTCTCCTCCTGCCTGCTGACAGTGGCCTTCCTGTTTGGCTTGGTGGGGCTGGTGGGCTCCGTACCAGGCCTCTTTCTGCTGCAGACCCCTGTGCTGCCCAGTGATCCTCTGAGTTGGAGCTGTGTCGGAGCAGTGGGGACCCTCACTCTGGTCTCCTTTGCGTGTGTGAGCTATGCGGTCACCAAAGCTCACCCTGCCCTGGTGTGCGCTGTCCTGCACTCTGAGGTGGTGGTGGCCCTGATACTGCAGTATTATGTGCTCTATGAGACCGTGGCACCTTCTGACATCATGGGGGCAGCGGTTGTGTTGGGTAGCATTGCCATCATCACTGCCAAGAACCTCAGCTGTGAGAGGGAAGCGCAGGTGGAGGAGTGAGATCATCTTGAGAGGCTGAGGGTTGGGGAGGGGGGCAGAAGTAAATAGGAGAGAATGGAATACAAACATGGGAGAACAAGTGACTGGAAAAGAACTGGTGTGGGAGAGGGACAGCCCTTGGAGTCAAGGGTAACTTGGTGGATTTGGTGGAGGGGGACTGCCTACAAGATCTGCAATAAGCCTGGGGACCAATAGATGTGGAGTCCTGGCTGGGGCTTGGGGATGAGGGCACAACTCAGGGGTGAGGTCTGAGGAGCAGATGACAGCGGCTGGAGCAGGCAGGCCATGAGCCTCTGGAGGATTTTTCCCTCCACATCAGAGAAGAGTATTGGGGCTGGAGTGTTTGGCGCTTTCAGGCAAACAGAGCAAGCAGCTGCGCTGGGGGAAGGGAATCTGCCTTTTTTTCCTTGAGTGAGGTTGTTGTTCCCCCCCTACCCCCATCAACTTGGGGTGGCGAGGTGACATTGACATCAAACAAGGATCACTCTGAATGTGTCTGTGTAGTTGGTGTTATCTCTGCTTTGGAAGGATAGTGGAAGTCCTACCACGCATAATGGAGATTACCTTGGGATCCACCCCCTCCATCTTATTGCTGAAATAATCTAGAAGGGGGAGGATTTCCAAACGTTCAGATGCCTTGACCCTGAATACTCCAGGGCCCGCCCCATGGCTAATCTGTTTTTCCTGGATTGTTGTGGTCCCGTGATCTTTCTCCCGGACAGCGGCCGGCAGCCAGCCTCCTTCCGGAGTAGGCCTCTGAGCTGAGGTCTCTTCGAACGGCTCAGGCCAGAGATCCAGGACCAGAGTTCCGTACGGCGCTCCATTAGAGGCCAGGAGATGCCCAACCGTCCCAGGAGGCCGCTCGACAAACATCAGCTACTTCCGGACAAGCACTAAGCCTCGCCATCTTGATCCGTGAATGCATATTCAGCGCTATTACTGCATATTCATGACTAAGGACGGCCCCAGCACTCCCCACTCCGGGAACCCACTTGGGACTACCCGACTGACCCCGCCTCCCTCATTACTAATTCGCAGAACAGACCATTTTCCAGCGAGGGGAGGAGGATATTAATGACTTTTGCTGAAGATTAAAACACACTCCACATTAGAATAAAAGCGGCCTGTATTTACCCTCGATCCTTCAAACCTTCAAATCTTAAACCTCAGTACGGGAGAGAGCAGCGATGGGAGGTGGCCAGATAAAAATTCCCCTCCCCCCCGTCATTTCAAAAGGTCGCTCAATGAGGGAGTCGAGGAGGGAGGAGCAACGACTCCAGCGCGCGCCCGTGCAGGCCGGCACAGGCGGCCCCGTAGCGCAAGGGAGGGCGGGAAAGGAAGGGGCGGTGATGCAGGGGCGAATCTATAAAAGGCGTCATTCGGCCCCTTCGCTTCTCAGAAGCGCGGAGAGCGCGGCCGGGACGGTTGGAGAAGAAGGCGGCTCCCGGAAGGGGGAGAGACAAACTGCCGTAACCTCTGCCGTTCAGGAGCCCGGTTGCTTATTTATTCGTTACCCTTTTTCTTTTCCTTCCCCCAACCTTTTCCTTTTCCCTTTTTTTTTTTTCCCCTTTTTGAGAGACGAAGAATCTCCGGAAAGGGAGAGGAAAACTACTTTCGCTCCTTTTTATTTCCCCGCTTTCTTCCCTCCCCCACCTTTCCCTCCTCCGGCTTTTTTCCTCCCAACTTAGGGAGGTCCTTCCCGGTGGCCGCCCCGACGGGGTCTGAGCACTTAAGCGGAGGCGGCGCAGGCTTTTTGTAGTGAGGTTTGCGCCTGCGCAACGCGACTACCTCTGCGATGCACGGGGGTGGCCCCCCTTCCGGGGACAGCGCATGCCCGCTGCGCACCATCAAAAGAGTGCAGTTCGGAGTCCTCAGTCCGGATGAACTGGTAAGCGGCTCTGCGCTCGCACTCCTCCCGCCCGTCTGGCGGGCGGGGCTTGAAGATAACTGCAGGAGCTTGGCGCTTTCTCACTGCCAAGGGTGACAGGCACGGGGAATGGGTTAGCTCCAAGGCAGTACGGAGGTCCGGCCTCACGGCCTCCCAGAGTGGAATCTTGCTAGGGTGAGCAAGCTGAGCGCTGTGTCAGGGATGGGAGCTTGGGCTCAGGAGATGCTGGAGAATGAGAAGGAGGGAGAGAAGGGTGACTGGCTTCACACCGCAGAGATACCGACGTTAAACGAAATCAGACGAATCCTACGGGGCCTTCGCACGTTTGGTTAAGAAGCCGAGCCCCAGATTTTACCCCTCCCCCTCCTAAGAATATTGAGCACTTGCTCTGTGATAGACCAAACAGACGCTGGGGTGTCAAGAGCCCAACAAGACGGACAAGGACCCTGCCTTTTAGAGTACTTTCTGTGGGAGGGGGCAGGGGACAGGAAAAAATACGAATAAATGGACAAACAAGATAATTCAGTTAATGGCAAGTGCCTTGAATAAAGGGAAACAGTGTATGTAATTCTATGGCGCGTCACTGAGGTGAGGCTACTTTAGATGGGGTGTTGTCAAGGTCAGGAAAGGCCTGTCTGAGGGGATGACGTTACCAGAATGATTAGAAACAACCGGTCATCTTGGCCTAAGACAAGAGCTTGTCAGGCAGAAGACACAGCAAGTACAAAGGGCCTGAGGAAGGAATGAAGTTTGTGTGTCTTAGGGGCTGAAAGAAGGCCAGTGGCTGGGGTTTAGTGGGCTGGAGTAGAATGATGTGGGGCAAGCCAGGTGGAATGTTGTAAATCGTGGTAAGGAATCTGGATTTAATTTTATTTTTAATAGGAAGTTACTGGAGAATTATAACTAGGAGAGTGACATCAATTTTACATTAAAAACTCATCAGCTTTGGTTGCCCTTTGAAGAACTGATTGGGGAGAAGGTCTAAGCATGAAAGTAGGAGGAGAGACCAGGGTGGAAGATAGTTCTAAGGGGAAGCTGTTGGTGACTTGGACTCCTTTTTGGAGCAAACTAGAGAGAGTGGAGTTGAATGGCTACGTTTGTGGATGAAGACAATTTTGCTGGAGGAGAAAGCTCAGCTGTGTGAAAACAAAATTGTAAAGCACTCAAAAAATATTGAAGGCTTTTGGGGGCTGATAACAGGGGCAGAAACCCTTAATTAGTTACAGGTAGATCTTATTGAGTACATGTTATGTGATAGGCACTGAGAAGTGTTTTACACAAAAGGAAGAGCAAGGCAGATTTCACTACATAAAAATAAGAGCTATTTCTGTTTATTAGAGATATCAGGGATTGCTAAAAACCAGATTGGGAATATTTGCAATGTGGCAGACAAAATTAGACTTCTTAATATACAAGGAACACTTATAAATCAGTAAGGAAAGCACACATCTATTTACTAGACAATTGGGTGGAAGATATGAATAGGCAGTTCACAGAAGTAGTACAAATGGTCAATACAAATATTCAGCTTACTAATAAAAACATACAAGTTAAAATAAAAATTTTTCCCTGCTGGCAAAAATATTGGGAAATAAGCATGCTTATACATTGTTGGTAGGAGGATAAATTGATATAACCATTTTGGAGGACAGTCTGACTTTTTATGAGTAATTTATTACGCATACTCCTTGGTGCAGCACTGCCACTTAAAAAAACTTATCCTCAAATAAAAACTTGTAATTTCTTCCCTCTAACATGACCCTCCCCCAGTCTGCCTAGTTCATAAGCAGGCAATGGCCCCATGCACCATTCATCCAGTTGCTCAGGCCAAAAGCCTGAAAATCATGTTAGATTCCAACCTCCACTCAGGCCATATGCCAGTCTGTCAGTTTTGCCTTTCAAAATGTCTGGAATCCAGCTATTTATGACTATCTCATTCTGGACCACCATGGTCCACCCCACTATCATCTTTCCCATTAGTGTACTATAGTAGCCCTCGCTCTAGTTGTTTCTCCTACAGTTTGCAGAGGAGCTAGAGAGATCTTTTCATCATCTCTTTACTTCATGGAATTCTCTTTGAAAGATCCAAACCCCTTACTATGTATGACCTATTAGGTCTGTATAATCTGCTTATCTCTCCATCTCATTCCCAATCTCCTCTTTGCTCTTTAACCACAATGATCTGTTCTTCCAGCACTACAATCTCATTTCTGCCTCAGGACTTATTATTCAGTGTTCCTGGTGCCCAGAACAACATTGCCCAGACTTCCTCAGGCCTGCCTGTTCCTTTACATCAGTGTGTTCTCTGTACAGATGTCATATCATTCGGAGCTCTTCCTTGACCACCTTATTGAAATGGTATTCCCCTGCATTCTCTAATCCTTAGTCTTGACTTTATTTTACTTCATAGCCTGTCACTACCTGAGAGTATTAGTTTTTCTGTTTCTTGCTCCCTCAATAGAATGTAAATTTCATGAGGGACTTTATTCACTCTTTCTTCCTTCAGTATCTCAAGTAGTGCTTGGCACATAATAGGTATATAATTAAAAAGTTTGTGGAATAAGTGAGTGAAATGAAATAATTGGACAGGTACACAAAGGTACATGTAGGAGGATGTTTTATTGTAACGTTCGAAAATCACATTGTTTGAAATTAAAAATTACCTAGATGTTTACTAATAGGAATCCTATTGAATGATTCAGGGTCTATTCTTACAATAGAAGAAGACCTTCCCAATAGGTTAAATCCCGTTTCCAAATTGCAGCAAACTCCCAGGGGCCCAGTGAGAAATTTTAAATTTTCAAGGGAAGCACAGAAGCAGCTATCTTTGTTTGATGCCCTGGGAACTAACTACTAGTTCCAGGTAGCTCCTTTTCAACATTAGATGGCGCCAGATCCCTTCCAATGATGTCATATCTTTGTGAAGCTTGGTTTTTAGCAGTTGCTAAATACTGGGCCTTCTATGATATGTAAATATCATAAATTCTTTCCAGTACATAAAATTTCTTGTACCTTGTATCTGTTCTTGTGTTTTGTAATTATTTGTTACATAAAATTTCTTGTACCATAATGTTAAAAAATAAATGCTAAAATTCCATTATAATACAAAAAACAAGTACCCAAATGTAAACAAATAAAAATTTGAATTAAAAAATTAAAAAGAAAGATTTTTCCCCCCGAAAGTTTGGGCCAAAAACTAGGTTCTCATTATACATGGCAAAATACAGTAAAACCGTAATAGGCTCTTTTAGGTAGTGTGGGCTACATTGGTGAACCAGAAGATTATCCTTGTCTTCAAATTATTTATAATCTACTGAGGGATTACCTATATATGCAACAAATATTTACTGAGCCCCTACCATTGTGCTGGTTACTGTGCTAGGCGCTGAGGATATAAAGATAAGTGAAACATGATCCTTGAGCTCAAGGATTACAGTCCAGACAAATATGTAAACAAGTAATTAAAGCTGGGATGTGGTAAGGCTAGGAAGAGTTAGAGAAGACTTTACAAAGAGGTGACATTTGAATTAGGTCTTAAGGAGTGAAAAGACGTTTCCTGGAAAAGGGGGCACGTGAAGAAAAGGAGTTTTGAGAAATCTATTATAGTGGGAGCATAAATGGGGGGATGTGGTACCAAGAAAAGCTGTAAGAGTGGGTTGAAGCCAAGTTGTAAGGACCTTGTGTATTTTGCTAAAGGCAGAGGAAAGAGAATGAGTATTTACTGAGAATCGATGGCAAGCCTTTTGTTCTGCAACCTCAGGGTCTCCTGGTTCCCACCACCTCCTCAGGAGTCTTAACTTTCTCATGTGAGTAGGGAGAACAAGTGTTTCAATGAAGGGTTGGGGGCTAAAGTACTTTGTATATAATTCAAAATGACAATTCGTTAATTTATGGTACAGGGGTAATCCAGAATATTCCAGGATAGCCCCATGCCCAGTCTCAATGCTTAGAAGCAGAATTAGTCCTTAGAAGGTGGTTGGCTTGGTGAGCATGGACTTAGAGCAGAGGGAGATTAAACGTTTTGAGTGGGATCTCCCTTAGGCCTCTCTCTAGTGACTCTTCTGGCAGCCCGATTCAGGCCTGCTTCCATTTTTTTGTGTTTCATTCAAGGTGAGCAAACTCCCTCTTGTTTCTCATAGACACAGTGTAGCTGATAAGAGTTCTAGCTTTGTGAATTTAGTCACCCGCCAGACCTAGCTCTCTGAAATTTCATCAGGTCATTTTGAGGAGCTCATGAGTGCTCAGAACTTCTTCAGCCTTGCATCTGTAGACCATTTTGGTTTCTATCCAGCAGTGGCCAATCAGATCCAATATGAGGGGATTATTGGTTTGACTGGCAAGGGGACAGCCTTCTCTCTTTTTATCAACTTCTTTGAGGGCACTTTTCTGCAGTGGAGAGTCCTAAGCAGTTTCGTTCAGTTTAACAAACATTTATTGGGAGCCATGGGATCCAGGAT